TTAGTATGGCTGTTGTGTACAAACGTAGATAACTCACACCCAAGTTCTGTTTACATTAAATTTACACTATCTATACGATGGCTCCAATTATAGTGAGCCTGTATAGTTTTTAGAAATTTTCTCATCACCTATACAGTGCAAAATGGGTAAGTGTGGTTCATAGACTTATTAATATATGGAATGCGCTTCTCCGGTACTCTGCCATATGTTGCCACGTGTCAACAGTGTTAAAAAGRAGTAGTCAATACCAATGTTATATAGTGGGACCTGACTACCTTAGATGTATGCCATCTTTTTCTATAAATGTTGTCATGTTTGTTGTTAAACTATTCTCTCTCTCTCTCTTGCTATAATGGATATAAATGGTACCCAATTTGTATGCTATATTTTTCTAACAATGTTGGTTTCCTGGACCTCTCTCGCTGTTATCAGTTCATTTCTTTATAGGTAAATTGCTTGGTTACATAGATAATTAAGATTATGTTGTCTCTATCACTACTGGTAATATTAAGCTAACACTTAACCCGCGTTGTCCTTGTCATACAATTTACAATTTTAAAATGCTCATAACTCACTTTAAAATTAAAATATAAAATTCTATTAGACAGTTAGATACTTTTAAAACACAATATGACAAATTGTTTTACGATAATATTGAAATTAATTGAATTCAAAATTTGTCAGGTAGTGGATTGAAAAAATCGTTTTTTTTTATCATAAACTGTACCCACAACCACCTTGACGAACATTATGATAATTAATTATATATTGTAGTAGACTCTCTGATMACAGTATCTAATGTATATTAAGCATATTGTAGGATATAGGGATTTTCTATCTGACTGTGTATGTACAGTATATTATTTGTGCGGCTGTATGGTTTTCCATTAGTAAAATTTTATATTTTGTATCTGAGAAAAATAATTGACTGTCTTCGTAATCTCCGTAGTGTTCCTACTAAGGTAATGATTAAATAATAACGCCTTTTATGCATTATATTATGCCATGTACACTCGCGACGCATGAATGTGTGTAAGTATAATGCGAGTGTATGTTTTCGTGAGTGGTTCGCTTCAGTCGAAACGTGTTTTTGCATTTTTAGGCCACGCACATAACCATATAATGACTAGGGATATGGTATGGTTGAAAAACAAACACAATAATATTAAACTCGTCGTTGCATCTCATATTATGTATATAAGATGTTTTATATTATACTCTATATATAATACGATATTACAACGGTCACTTTATATTTACGGGTGTATAGTCGTTTTCCGTCAAAATCGACCTTGTCKTTTAATGCCAAGTCCGTTTATGCGATACCTATTATACTTTTCCATTTTCCACCGAAATGAAAATTTAAATGTTCTTATCTTCATAACTCTTTGCTTATTATAAGAATTTTTAAAATAATATTTTATTGTTATGTAATTTTAAGCTGTGTAAACTTATTGCGTACGTATTAACGGWCAAAATAAAAGAAAAAGAAGGGGAAAGTACTAAAGTAGATAACCGTTCTGTTGTAYGTATTAGGTGTCGAGAATACCTTGTTATTACTCATTAGGCATTGAATTTAGTCACTATAATGTGTTAATTGAATTTGATGATAAGTCATTACATATACGAAAAACGATTCTGAGCGAAGACAGCCTCAGCCATTCAGTTAAATGGGCAGGTATATTCCATGGTTATTGCGAATTTTTCACTTAATTTTTTGGAATTCCAGTATTAACTACTTATAAGCATAGACCTTATACAGGGTGTCCCACAGAGATCTGAAAAATTAAATAACTTTTGTTCTAATCAATATTTTTAAAAAATTTCTTTTAAATATAATTCAGACTTGCGCTACATTTTTAGAATACTATTTTTTATTTTTAATACTGAAAATAAAAAACTTAAAAATTGATAAACAATTTTTTCGAAATATTCAATATAGCCAATTTGTAAATCTGAATTTTAGAAAAATTTATAAGGTAAAAACATTTATTTAAGTCAAATGACTGATTTTTTACAATTTTTTTAAATATCAATATTTTCGTTAAGTAAATTACGATCTAGTTTATGTTAGAAAACCTTGTAATTTCAAATAATAATAAAGTTTTTTAAAAATATTTTATAAGAACATTTTTAAATAAGTGCATGTTAAAATCTAATTATTTTTTTATTGTATTTATTTTAATAATATGTGATGTATAAACTATAAATTACTATAATTTACCTAACGAAAATATTGATATTTAAAAAAATTATAAAAAATCAGCCATTTGACTTAAATAAGTGTTTTTATCATATAAATTTTTCTAAAAATCAGATTTACAAATTGGTTATAATGAATATTTCGAAAAAATTTTTTATCAATTTTAAGTTTTTTATTTTCAGTATTAAAAAATAAAAAATAAAAAATGTATTCTAAAAATGTAGCTCAAGTGTCTATGGATTATATTTAAAAGAAAATTTAAAAAAATATTGATTAGAACAAAAATTATTTCATTTGTCAGAATGTCAGATCTCTTTGGGACACACTCATAAGAATATAAGGTATATGCTTATAAGGAACCTTGCATCACATTTAAAAGATTTATAATCCATTTTTTTTTTCATCGACATTTAAAGAAAAAAACATCGAAGGCATATTAACTTTTTGTTGGGTAACCGATCATTCTTAAAAGTATTTTCCTAAMAATCTATAGTTAATTTTATTGTTTCCAGGATACTATAAATATTAATAGTCTACATGAATAATTTTTTTTATATAACCGATTGTTCTCATATTACAAAGATTATAATTTCTGTTTTATGGAAAATGAAAATATAACGTGACTGAAAGGTTAGAAAAATCGAACCATACGCTTTGACGACCACTTTTCTAAACCCCAGACATTATGGTTTTGAGATTTTTGGCGTATTTTTGTGGTATCGCGATGACCGATGACAAGCTCTCGTCCATTATACGCTAATATCCGTTAAACGCCCATTATGTAAACAATATATGAATCACATTTGTGTCGTATACATTATACATTTATGCATTGCCTAGAGTCAATATAGATATTAGATAGCAAGCCTCTGACCGGATATTGATTGTTGGACATTAAACTTTGATTTCTCCGTAAGTGGATCATTCCGACACATTTTTATCGCAGATCGTATTGTTTGCTATGGTCAGTGTCGAATTTGTATGTACATAATGCATATATTGTGTGAACTGTTTTTTGTCTTGTCGATCTCCCATCCCGGTTGTTATACATTATATTGTATTGCTATATCACATATCGCGGTGTAATCACTCGAACAATTAAATATAAATTTTCAGACATTTCCGAGCGTAAGTGGTGATAGTGATGACCAATGGAATCTATAATATATCGACAAGACAAAATATTATTCTAGGTCGTTGTTTGTTTCAATTGTTGTTTGTGACTGGCGGATGAGTGTGCTATTACCTATATCCAAATTAATAAATTATTTTTAAAGCAGTTCTGTTATTCCATTCGCGTCTTCCGGTGCGCGCTCCTCGCTGAGATCATGCGGCGTGATGGTTCACACTATGTATGTATAATTAATATTATATTTAATACTATTTGATCACWACTCAAATCGAGCAATTTTTACGTATGTATTTAGCGCACGTTGCTGTGTCATGCAAAATATCGTTCTGGAAGTTAGGGTTAGGTTTACTGTTTTTGTTCGTAAAGCTCAAACATTGTATGAAATATGTGACGAAAAATTGCATTATGTAAATTCTTTTAACAGTTTTATTCATTACGTCATTCTACATATCATTGCGTTTCCACAACCACCTGTGTAATGCGCATTGCGTTTAAATGGTATTATAACCTGCAGTACTTGTACGTATCTTTATATTATATAATTTACAAACGCTGGTCCAGAAAAATAGTGTCTTTAGAGACTACTCTCAAGTTGCCAATTGGTCGTATTACCTATATGTATTAATGTGCCCCGGGGAGACCTTAGTTTTGTTTATTTGTTTTTAATGCTGACATTTACTTTTATGAATGTCAAGCAAGCGTGATATTATCAAAACGAGTGTAATTGCAATTCAGTAAAAACAAAAAAAAAAGTATTTGGATTAGGTCATTATATACTAAATCATATAATACAGAAAATGATTTGTATAGTATATTTATTAATAGGTTGGTAGGTATATACACATATTTATAGTTGGTGGGAATTATAATCACCTAAAGTAGTAGACCAATTCAATGAAAATAAAATATGTGCTGTGATCAAAAAATTGTAAATAGTATTTTGTTTATCAAAGTGAATTGTTATGCATTTTGGGTTTCGTATCGTACCAATATATTTATTTTCTGCATTAAATATAATCCGTGGTCGACTGAAGTAGTTAAAAATAAACGAATCAGCTCGGTCGGCTTTTACTACTTTTTAAACTGTAATATTCTCTATACCACATTTTATATTTGTCTAGTCAATGGCATGCTTATCTTTTAATTTTTTCTATATTTTATAATATCAAAGACACAAATAAAGAGCTTTTTGAGACAATGAAAAAGTGGATATAACCTCTAACCTTCCCTTTGGGCATATCACTGGCCTCTATGCTCTGTATAGTTGAGCTATTATAATTGTGGTTTAATTATGAATTTAATTAAAAATTTATATTTTGAACTTTTTACTGTACCTACCTAATGATCATTTTTGAGTGCCGTGTACGGAAATGAAGGGATTGAAAGTACTTATTTACTTTTGGTTTTATAGAACTAAGTAAACACAAAAAATATAGTTCAAAAAAATCTAAAAATCTTCCGATAAAGAATAACMTGTATTTTTTGATTTTGAATAGTTTTTCATGTTCAGAAACAAGTCACCGGACTGATACATACAAAATAGGTTCTGATACGAACCCTTATTGTGTTATATATTATACCTGCTTTATATATATATGAGTACCTAATTCGTGTAGCAAAGACGTAACAAAATCTTTAAAGTAATGATTTATTTATGTTTTACAGATCGTAACGTACGAGACGACAAAAGAAGGCGGTGTCGTCGAGTTCATGACTGAGACAAAGAGCACTGTCCCGACGGTGACCTCCAGCAGCGACGGTAGTTCGACGTCCAAGACTGCGGTATCCAAGAATGGTGGCACCTGCACCGTCGTGAAAAAGACTACTACGATGACGACCACTACTACTTCGTTGCCGACAATGCCAATAAAGATCATTTCGGTGACCAGCCCGCCGGAGGGCAGCACAAAGACTTCGGAGCAAAAGCAGCCACAACGGCGTCGGCCTATGCCCAAGCTTATACCTATCGTCGAACAGCAGCAACAGCAACAGTCAAGGCGCGTACCTTCGATCGTCCGGATGCGACCACCTGTGACGACAGCACCACCACTTCCAGAAAATGCTTCTGTCATCACCCCTGACAACTACTACAGCTTGGCGCCAGGCCAGAGCGCGCTCAGCGATTTCGCATCCATAATCGACGACACGGACTGTGCGCCTGGTCCGTTAAACTGCAGCCCCGCCTTAGCAAACACTGCGGCTAGTGGCGTCACCACGGCTAACCGGCGGCGGAGTAGCAGCAGCACCGGAAGCAGCAGTACCATAACCTCGCCCAAGAGCAAGACCGCATCGTTTTTCGATAAGCTCAAAGCTAAAGTGGACGAGACAGCGGACTTGACTTGCCCGGTTTGCCATTACGAGTCCAAGTGTCTATCAGAGTTCATGCGACATCAACGAACTCATGGCAGTACTGGTGACGGTGACGGCGACGCTGACGTTGATGCCACTACTCACGTTACCACCACTTCGGCAGACGTCAACGACCTTAATTCCGAAGATCATACCGCTACGACACCAGAGCGGACGACTTCTACATCGCCGCCACTACCGCCGCCGCCAGTGACGGCCGCCGAACTCAAGTCGACTAGGTGCCAGCGGTGCCGGAAGCGGTGCAAGACCAGCACTGAGTTGATTGTACACTTGGCCACTTGTCGAGGGACGACTGCCCTCGCCACTACCATTCCAGCCACAGCGATTGATAGCCCGAGCCAGCCTGCTGCCTTGAAAGAAACCGCCACAGACGAAGAGTTAGATACACAATTGCACCCAATGGAGAACAAGATTTTCGTGTGGAATACTTCCGCGGTAGCAACACCAACCGGTGAAGACGACAACGACAACAATGACCGCGAAGAACAAGATTCTGTTTCCGCGACCGAAGTCGCGATGCCGCTYTACGTTGAACCACCGTCAGTTGAAGATGAATCGGAAGATGACGTCAATGGAACTCCTTCAGACACTACTGGCTTCTGCAACCCTGAGATGTTAAAGCATCAGGAACAAATGAAGCACGCCATCAGAAAGGAAGGGAAAATGTACAAAACGGTAAGTTTTTTTAGATGCTATGTGATGTTTAAGTAGATTATATATAGGTATACAGGTTTATTGTATTRTATGTTCATGGGCCTATTTTCTGGCAAAGGTAATTTACTAATAACTGGAAATATCATAATTTTGGTTGTACTAATATTTAATTGTTTGCATTGATTTTGGTTAAACTTCTTTTGAAAAAAATAGTTGGGCTTTGAAGTTATGTTTAAATATGAATAACATGCATTTTTATTATTTATTTAAATCATAAGTCATAAATCATATCTAATGTCATCAAGGAACAAGGCTAGTCTGCGTACTTGCTCATAAAATACGTACAAACATTTTACCTATTACTTCATAAATTATAAATATATTCTGACAGGTGATGCTTTCTCGTTGCAGGTGTTCAAGTGTCCACACTGCACGTTTTGGGCGGCCACCGCTTCTAGGTTCCACGTCCACATCGTTGGCCACCTGAACCGCAAGCCGTTCGAATGTTCGTGTTGCGCGTACCGATCCAACTGGCGCTGGGATATCACCAAGCACATCCGGCTCAAGTCCGCGAAGARAGGTAGCAGTGAGGAGTCGGCTGCCACGTTTAACTCGCACCAGGGCGCCAAGGTGCTAATGACAGATGAGACAGGTCGCAGGAACTACAGCAAGTACAACCGATACCTAACTGTGATGGAGATGGACATAGCGGACGGAGCAGACAAGGCGGCTGGTGGAGAGTGTGAGGACGGAAAAGGTGTCCGCAAGTCCGTAGGCGGCGGGATTCCCCGGAAACGACGGGCGCCAGTCTTTGTCCACCATAACGGGGTCCCGCTCATGACGTCGTCAACGGGTAAGGCCGCGACGGTGGCGGGACAATTGAAAAGGTTTAAAGCCGCGGCGATCCGGAACCAACAGCAGAACCAGAATAATTCCGCGATGACGACACTCCTTCCGCCGTCAACTACTGGAGGTGACGGACGCAGTAAGACCGTTTGGAAGTGCAAAAAATGCTTCTTCAGGTAAATAAAATTATTTTACTATACATTTACACGTTTATTCATAAAGAGGATATCAGCGCATTACAATATTTATTTCTCTGACCTATGCGCACATACGAGTATAAAACTTACATTTGCGTTCATCTAAACCACAGTAATCCAACCTTTTGTAGTTGGTGGCTTAATTCACACATTTCATACAAAATATACTATATACATCATACTCGTACACAGATAATATGAAAGATATGAAAATAGTAACCATAATATTCTTCATTGACATTTGATATGTAGGTAAACAACTGGCAYGACGACGTAAGGAATAGTGTATACCTAGTGATAAGTGTAGATTCCATTTCGTTTATGCTGGTAATAAAATGTCCAGATTAAAATACTGAATATGTTAATTTACTTGATATACTTTAACAGGTAACCAAAATTTTGATTTTTTATTGTAATTTAAAAATAAATAATATAACAAGGACTTAAAATTTTAACTAAATATTAGCATTTTTAATCGCATAATTTTCTAAATATTTTGACTTTTTTTGATATATTTATAGACATTTAAAATTGTGTACTTACTACTTTATTAAAAAATATATTTTCCTAGTCAAAAAGCTTTAAAGTGTAACAAGAAGTTCTATTTATTTAAATTATATTTAAAGTTATTAAAAAATTAAATATAATTTAATCATTTTTTATTATACTCAATAAGCATTAAAGGTTAAAATAATTAAAAGTTTTGTCAAAATCATGATTATTTACTAACAATTTTTCAGCTAAAAATAAATAAAAATGTTGATTTATTTTAACACTTGAGACTTGAAAATTTAATATAGGTACATGACTAATAATAGCTGTTTCTTAAAGAAATTTCAAAAAATATTTTATGTAAATAAGCTGCATTACATTTTTGTGAGTGATATGAAGATAATATTTTAACGAAATTCGATATACATATGTATATATACATATATAGATATACATATATATACATATACATATACATATTAACTTAAAACAACGATTTATCCTCAAATGGTTATTAGTATAATTTTTGAGTAAACATTAATCGTAAAAGCTGAAATCATTCCACTAATATTGATATATCAACAAATTCCTAATTACACTGAACACAACGAAAACCTCAAAATATTTCTACTATTTTTAAGTTACTTATTTTACAGTATAAATAGGTGCGGTACACTATTCTATTTTACTTCTATATTGACTTAAAGCACTAATTTTATATTATTTTATACTATTAATTATTAATTATTTTGTTGGCAAATATTATTTTAAACGATCGTATATTTATATATCTACATTATTTTTTACAAATAAATTATAAAATATTCTTACAAATAGAGGCTTCTTTCTCCAATCAGAATCGTTTATCGCGTGCAATTATTCATCATAATTTAAAATTGGCAAATTATAGTAACCTTTTCAATGATAGGTACTCGTAAACCTACTATACAGCAGTGTGAGTTCTCTAATTATTTATTTAAGTTTTAAACCTTGTAACATTTATACATGCAAGTTTTTATCCTTTAAAACATTACAATCACATTTCGTTTTTGTAATATACATCGCCTGGTTTGATTTATTTTGGGTCACTAAATTGTATAGATTGGAGTGCACATGGGTCGTGGCATTATTATATACTTCCGTTTTCTTTTCCATCTCGCGTCTGTTTTCGATTATTATTTTAGTCTAATATTTTATGTTTTATAATTTATTTACGATTTTTCCTTTTCTTTGTTACACGTTACAGAGACTGCGACCGACTGACCGTTTTGAACCATGTCAAGGCGCACTACAGGAGAGGAGAGTTCAGTAGCAACACCAACACCAATGCTCCACATAGCGACTCTACAGCCACCACTGCCATGGACACGACCAACGCAACCATCAATGAATTATATGTACGTAACACTGGTTAAAGCTTTAAGTGGACATATACCCATAAGTTGTTTGTGAAACCCGTTCYACTGAAAAAAAATATAGACCACTCGGGTTACAAAGTATTATTCCTACAGCTGGAAAACCAAATTTATACATGAGAATATAATATTTTATATCAGAAAAATAAAATTTAAGTTTGAAAAACATACAAATTAATTTCAAATTCTAAAACATTAATAACTTTTGTAAATCATGTCTTTATAAAAATGAAAAAACCAATAAGGCAGCAATTTAAATTGCCTTTTTACTGAGTACAAATTTGCAAGGCTTTTATCTATGACTATACATGATACTGATTATCTACCTAAGTAGTTCCTGTTTTCATATGAAACAATTTTCCTATATATTATAATCTTGTTATTACATATCATCAACAATGATGATACCTATTGATATAAAACTACTTGGAAGTTAATATTTTTATATATCAAACCGTCTTTAAATATTTTTTATTACTAATTTTTTATGACCATATAATACGATATTATAAATTATATTGAAATCCAGTTGTTAATACAAAACTCGATTTAGATACCCATTTTATCAAGTTTTTACCATTTTTAATATGACTTAATAGTTGATAATTTACTCGTATATTKCATAAATTRCTTTTCCTCATTCCAACTCATCATTTGGATAAGAATTTCAGCGCATTATTTGTTTTTATCTCTGACCCATACGCAACGTAGGAAAAACGTGCTTGTCGTTTCGTGCACTCTTTAAAAATAATTCTTTTGGATTTTTGAATATTGTTAGAAGCAAATCATCGATTTCAAAAATTTATAGTTTGACATAAAGTTCGTCTCTAGAAAAATTAATAACTATTTAAATATAGGTAAATTCATTTTTAAGGAAAATAATACTTAAGGTTGTTTTATTCTAAGAGAACTTGATAATCTGAGATGAATCATGAATCTATGCCGCGTGTGCGATTCTGAGAAAACAATTAGTGCGCTGACATGACGCCATCGTCTTAATATATAATGATTGCCCGCGAATCATCAAATCAGAACAAGACAAGCTAATTTGGTACAACCGTATAAATAGATAATATTACTAATTATTATACTTAACACGCTCATATAATGTATTACTTTAAATGATACAATAACATAGCACGATAATGATTTGAACTCGAAGTCTCGAACCATGGAGAATAATAACTCGATTATATTTAATGTAGTATCGGTTGTTAAAGTTTTAATTTTAGAAGAAAAAAAATAAAATGTATATACATACATGGTATACATACATACCAACATACCTATATGGTAGAGATCGCCAATAAGCAAACCTTATTTAAATCTGTATAACTATACCTATATAATTCCAAAAGGCGGTATTATATGACACATTTTGATAATATAATAATTGATAAACCCTAATATTATGTGCTATATTTTTTATAGCTGCAATATTTTTAGATATGACATCAAAATATAATTAAACATAGTTGTTAGTAGTACAATTTATTAGTCTTTGAATAATAAATGTGGCTATAAAGTTATAATACTTATTAATCATAATTTATTAGTATAAGTCGAATGGATATCCTACAGTGGTGTAGCCAGGAGTGTGGGTAAGAGGACTAAAGCCCCTCCCCCATTAACTGTGTTTATTTTGGCTATTATTATTTATATTTATATAAAAAAATTTAAAATATTGCGTTTTGTCTAGTAAACTGTAAACATACATTATAACTTATAATTTATAAGTTATACTTCTCAGAACTTAAATCACTTAAATCTATAATCTTTGTAATATTCTTTCTTATATTATCATGATTAAGAGGACATTATACCCGTATGTGTTGTCTCCGTCTTACAAGTGTATAACATAGAACATTTTACGCTCAGCAGATCGCGTTATAAGTATTTTAAGATGTACCTACAAAACATTTACAATTTTAAAATAATTGTAACTCGCTTCAAAATTAAAATATAGTAAAAAAGTCTATGAGGTCGTCTAAATAATATTCTCATGTTTAAATTTTATAAGAAGTTAATTCATTCAAATGTTTAAACTAAACGTGATCTGCTGAGCGTAAAATTTGCTATGTTACGCACTTGTAAAACGGAAACAACATATTCGGGTATCACGTCCTTTTAATTATGAATTAATCACTCAGTCGCGGTTAATAAATGTAAATTAACAGTACTAAGATACGAGCCCCGGAGCTTACCTTTTACAGTTGTAAAAATAACTACTATCATCACGCCCCAAGAAGGATGTTAGAAGCAGTTAAAATATTAGAACCATAATAAATAAAATAAAATGTTTATACACTAATATATAATTTGTTGCTTAATTTGTTACAAACATTATTTTAGGTATACAAAAAGTGTGTTTAAAAGAATTTTTTTTTTCGAGACTTAGCCGCCCCATACAAAATTTCTGGCTACGCCATTGAATGTCAAGTTTTTCTTTGAAATCCAAAGCGCGTGTCAAAACGWAAATTGAAACGTAAGTCCATGGCTCGATACGTTCAAACATTTTTTTCCAGTTGCCGTTTTTTTTATTGGCAAAGCTAAATTAACGTAGCCACGTAGGTATAGGCCAGGGGTGGCGAATCTTTTTTGGGTCTAGTGCGAAATTTTTGCAATCAAGGGTTTGACGCGTTTGTCATCCCCGGTCTAGATTAATACACCATTCCGCCGTGTGTGCGTCTTCGGGTATGATAAGTCTGACAACGGTGGCATGAGTTATGTATACGTTTGATTTATAATTCTGGCTCATTGTTTTGTGGACAAGTTTACTTTACTCTAGTCGTTTAACTTTCAACGCAACTTACACGTATGAATCGTTAGCACACCCCCAATGCCATTTCAATTCGAAAGCCTAGAAATTTACGAATAATTTTTAACTAGACGCTTGTTTTGAACATCTGTCATAATGCAAGTGATATATTATGATGCAAATTTTTTTATCAATTTGATCGATAACCATATTTTTGAGGAACTCTAATTTATGTTATTCTAATATTTTTAGCAAATTATCACTTGAAAATATTTTTCAATGACTTTAGGTTATATAACTTTTACTAAACGTGTTGATAAAAATACTGCTTGATGCCTTCAAAAGTATTAATTTTAGTATCATATTAAGCTAGTTTATCTCTAAAATCCTTTTTTTTTTTAAAATGTTTAAGATAAAATTCTTAGAAATTAGCAGTTATGTAATTACCAATCATTTTGTAGTTGAAAACTTAATCGCATAATTGAAATAACCAAGAATAGAATACTAAAGTCAATTTGTTCTATAACTTGTTCTTAGTAGAATTAAAAAAAAAAAATGTTTTGATTGTAAAGTTAATTTAAAAAAACTTAACCATGAAAAAAGGGTCATGTCCCAGACTCAAAAAAAGTAAGTGATATCTACATTTCAACCAAGTATACTCTTTCTTTTGTCAATAATTTTAATACACATATACATTCTTATGCAACAGATCTCTTTTAATTTTATTGCTTATCATTTGGCCAGTTTCTTCAGATCTTGGCTCTTTAGCATTATCAACAAGTGGAAAGGTTTTAATCATAAATTGATTATTTTTCCTCAAAACTTGCCAAAAGATAAGAAATTAACTTTAAAGAGATTTATATTCGAAAAATTAAATTTATAATCACTAATATCTTTAACTAAGTGCTAATTTGTACTCTTATTATCAAAAATGATAAAATATTTGGATTCAGCACTCTTGTTAACATCTGAATGATATAAAATGTGAAGGTTTTGTACAATTTATAAAATATTCCTACTTTCCCCTAATTTAAACGACTCGCGGCCTTCCGATATATGTAACTATTATTTTTGGTCGTCTCTGTGATGATAGTATTTTTTCATATGTTTACAGAATTCATATWAGATTATTTAGTATGACGTTATCTTATATACATTACAATATTATGCTCCTAGCTAGCTCAAACATGAAAAATCAATTTGATTTAATTGAGCATTATTAACGCGGTAAAATAATTACTACCTGTCACTAATCTCGATGTTAACGAATGTAGTGTAATATGATGTGTAGTGTGTACTTCATTGTGCATTTCTGACAATTTATCTATTGTGCTTAGATATAATTGACTTTAGCGTTGCATCCTTTTAAATTAATAATTAAGTCCGTTGTATTTCAATTAGATTCAAACAAAAAAATCGGCAGAAATAAAAGAAACAGCAGAGCTAAATTCACCGAACACCGACCGTAGGAAAACAAAGACTCCCACAACCGGAACCGCATCCGACACGTTGTTACTGTTGTCCACCAACCCTAAGTCGTTAATGCATTATGGTGAGTATTATATTTATTTATCTATTCTTGAGCCAGATTGTGTTRAATATAATAGTATCTAAACTATTWATTTWTTTTTTTTWAATTTATTACAGCGATTGAATTCAAAATATTTTAAGCTTAATACATGGTAACTACAGCTTATTTTTAATATAATTTTTTTTTTCAGATGATGAAAACTTTTTGTCTTGTCCGCTATGTGATATGACAGCTGCTAGCCCTGGCCAACTGAAGGAACACATGCAGTGCACCCATATTCCCGAAGAAACCAAGTATAGGTGTGAATACTGTCCATTTTGGTCCGAAGAAAAGAAKTGAGTTTTTTACGGTTTTAGAATCTGAACTTAAATTCTTAATAAATACTAATGTTATTCATTTTATTATAGAGCTATGTTAGATCACATGATGTTTGCGCATGAAATGGACGACGGTAGTGTAAATACCGATGTTAATGCCACAGATGTAAATTACGGGACCGAGCAACGTGACGAATCGGCTTCAAATTCAATTAACAATGACGACGAGGAGGGAATGCAGGGAATCGATGAAAACGGAAGTAGTGATGACGTGACAGCTAATATGGCGACGTTTGATAATGGAAGTGATGACACGAATACCACGAACAACATGGAAATGATGTTCGAAACCAGTGATGAAAACATTGTCGTAGTTGAGGCGGTGGAGTGCAAACCTGATTTTGTTGATAATGATGGAGGATCAACCATTGAAAGACCATTGACTCCGAGCAAAAACTCTGARAAAAGCAGCTATAGCAGTACCGCTGATGATAAAATAGCTGACAATATGATTAGTTGCGAATACGAGAGAGGTGAGGAACGGGATGAGGACGAAGAAATAATAATCAGTGCAGAGGAAGTAACCGAACCCACRCCAGTTACAATGATCAAAGTAAGTTTAGCCTCCCCCTTCTCGACCAGAAAATAAACAATAGGTATAGAATATTGAATCTGTAACTTGATATTTTTGAAATAATTACAGGAAATTCACGCACCTACTGCGTCAACGACGTCGAAAGGAGATGCCACAACTGTATCATGCAAGAAGATCGAGGTTTTCGAATGCAACGAGTGTTGGTATTATTCAACTAATAAAAAAGACTTACTTGCACATAAGCAGCTGCATGCCGAACGGGGAGCACTCTATAACTGTACGGAATGTGTGTTCAACGTCACCAAATCAGCTATTCTATACCATCATTATCGACACGGTCACATTATCGAAGAACCAGAACTTAGATATCCAGAAGATTCTGTGGTTCGAGCTGGGCAAAGAGAYATGATAGCGAAAAATGCTGATATTAAACTAGAAAACAAGACAGGCAATGTGCCGGATGTAGACGAGACCACCGCTGGACCGCCAATGGTATGGCATTACAAAAAGGAAAACGTGCCTCCTTTTTCGAAAGTATTCAAGTGTCGATACTGTCCGCACACTAATCGCCGAAGGCACAACACGGTTGAGCATGAACGGATGCACTCAGACCATCCGGACCATCAGAATCACAGACAAATGCAGCAGCGTCTATCAGGTTGTTCAGTACCACCATCCCCCTTACACCCGTGCAAACGATGTACGTATGTATGCAATAACGCAGGGGTCTTGGCATCACATGTCAAGGTACACTCAACAAATTATAGATGCTCAACAGTGGGATTTTATGATGTGACCATTGTAGACACGTTGCAGATTCAGGCTCTCGAATACGTGATGGAACTAGAAAAAATTTTGCTGCTGGACAAGAGCACAGCCATCAACAGTGGACTAYTTCATTCCGATAATGAAGTGTTGTCCGATACGTCCAGCGATAATGAAAGCCAAGAAGACGTCACCAAGTACACAGAAATTGATGAACCTGAGCTTAAATTTTGTCCATATTGTCCTGCTCGGTACTTTTTCCTTACTGACCTCCGATTCCATATCCGATTCCATCAGTTCCGAGGCTGGAAAAACGCTTGTGATTGTTGTTCATTTGTAGCTCGGGCAAAAAGCCACGTAGACGCTCACGAGATCGTCCATTGTGACGAGTATGCACAACGTACTACCGAACTGATCGCTTCCGGATATCCAGTTAACCCTAAATATTGTCGGCCCTCGGAGTATCCTGTATCGGTAAGTGACGATTCACCACCTCAGCTTCAGAGACGATCGTGGTCTCCACCCCAATCACCAAATTATAAAGATTCGAAAATACATTCGCCTGAGCCTGATGATCAACGACAAAGGCGGACCAAACGTATGCGGTATTCAGAGCCTAATGTCGCCACTGAATTGCAATCACCACCCATGGAGCATGCCGATGACCCTAGTAAACGACGACGACGCTCCATGGTAGTTGGTGTTGCCAAGAAATCTGTCAGTGCAAAGCCACCGCCACCAGCACTACTACCTGTGCCAAAAATCATAAATTCAAAGTCAACGCCACCACCGTTACTACCTGTGTCTATGATCCCAGCAGCTATTGAAATGAACACTACAACTAGCGCTGCAATCATTAAAAYTGACGATCAAAATTCCACCATTGATACCACCGTAAAACCCATTAAAAGTACCAAACCAAGTTATATACGGCAATTTATGTGCACCATGTGCCCAGGCAAATTCTTCAAATCTACAGCCTTGCAGTACCACAAAACATTACATGGAGGTACGGGTCGTCACCGATGCAGACGTTGTGATTATGCAGTGAGCACATATGGCAACTTGGTGCGGCATGAAACCGTTCACCGAGATCTACCTGCTAGGGAAAAAGTTAAGGCTAAGACATCAAAGAAATTGAGAGCTCTCTCAAAATTAAAGAGCAAAGGCAAAAAAATTCCTTTACCTGTAATTTTATCAGCGATGCCAACATCAGGTTCGCAGGTGAAACCGGGACATTCGACCGACGAAAACGACGGACAAGAAGACTTTCAGATCGATCCGGAGTTCGGGTCCGTAATGCTGGGCAACCCGAATTTCTTTTATCCGACCACAGTAACAAACGGTGTCATTCGATCCAAGCGGTATAAATGCCCAAAGTGCCCGTCAGCGTTCGACAAGCGTGATCAATATGCGGTACACCTGACTCTACATGGAGCTCGGGACAAGTACCAGTGTGATAAGTGTGACTATGCAGTACGATACACGGCTAATTACGTRCAACACCAGCGAAAGCACGCGAGGGACGCAGAAATCCGGAAGAATAACCAGCAGGCGGCTGACAGGGAAAAAATGATCAAGGAACAGGAGGAAGCGTCGAACGCTAAACGGATGCGAAGGCGACCGACTTCAGAAGACAGAACGCCTCAGCGTCCGACTAAACTAATGCTACCACCACCGGTGAAACTAGAGCCGCAGGACACAACTTTCACGAACGAGATATCGGATCAGCAGACTGCGTACGAGCTGAACGCCGCCTAYGGTGCCACTGGAAACTTGGTTGGAGAAACCACCACATCCCTATTCCGGTGTACACAGTGCCCATTTGAGTGTGACATTCGGTCACAGCTGGATCGACACAACACTCATCACCACGTGGCGATGAACTCGTCTGGAGCAGCGTCCAAACGGTCTTGGAAACGGTCGTGTAAGTTCTGCACATACCGCACTCACGGTGAAGTCGACTTGGCTGAGCACACTCGTGTYCATTTCTTGCGATCGACCGGTGAACCTGTGAACGGGGATTACRCGTCTGTCGAAGCTCACGTRCCCCCCGCGCCAATAGACGTGGTCGAGAGCGATCATATCGAGTTCCACGGTAAGCGGGTCGTATACAGCCAGAGGCGGCGCAACAACAAAATCAGTGACCAAGACAATGTCCCGGAAAAACTGGATGAAGGAGACATCGAACCGTTTTTCGTGTTCAAAGACTGTGGTGAAGTCCGATATCGTGTTAACGACCCCGCGACCGGTAACGGCATGACCACCGCTGCTATGATCAAGTCACACAAGAGGTTCAGTCCCGACCGTCCGCCACCACAAATGACGATCGATTACAACGACAACCGCACTGGAGACGGCCCCAAAGCACCATCGGCTGCGTTCGTGCGGTTCTTCGACAACGGCACTCGGCTCGAGTTCCTGGACGATGATCCCGTTGAGCCCGCAGGCAAAAAAAAAAGGAGTAAGAAGTAGTTGGTACATCGGTCGTCTTAAACAATTCCGTTCTGTGTCCATTCGGCGTTCGTTTTTGATTCGCCAATAGAAAATATTTTCGTTTTTTACGGCGCACACTCCTATAATACAATAATAGTTGTTCGCCGTAATCGACTTATTTTACGTTCGATACTAATATTGTATAGCTTATAATTTTTATTTCAGATTTTTTTTTCATTTGTTTATTCTTATGACCACGTTTTTTTCATATCTATGTTTATCCCAATTGTTAACAGATTAATTAATTTTTATTTTTAGTATAAAATATTTTTCTTATGTATAATATTTGACATTTTGGTGTACTCACGCCTTTTTTTACCSATCCCTTCATTTAAGCTTCTATTTACACACTATTTGGATTTCATAATTGTGTACGTTTTGCCCCTCCCCCCACCAATTTAATATTATTATATTCAAATTGTAAATAATAATATATTATTAAAGTTAAATACGATTGTGACTACTCACTTTTCATTTTTATTATAATTAACTAGTATAATTTTTTAAGTAGTAATGTATCGTTGTTATATAATGTTTATCGTAGACACTAGTATTGCTTTTGGACCAATATTATATTATTTATTTATTTATTTATTTATGTTGCCATCCTCTCCTGCTCATTAAAGAGCAGAGAATCATAGGTGTCCATGTAATCTTATTATTATATTATTTTTTTTTTGCGTTTACACCCAAGACACAACCCACAATAGTGACTATATTATTATATATTTTATGATATTGAACATTAAATTTAAAATATTTTATTTTGTCTTTTTTTTCCACTATATTATATTGTATAACAGATGATTATTTAGACGATTGCCGACGATATTTGTCTTATGCGCTGCTCGTGTACCTCTATCGTAAAAGTGGCGTCTGCTGCTGTATTTTTGCATTATTTTATTTTTCATCGGTAATCAAATAAAACTATATTATATGTATGTATTTATCTAAATGATTTATGTGACAACGACGAATAAAAGGGATTAATGTATAAAAATGGCGTGTGAATTATTTTTTTTTTTTTAACGATGTACGATCCACTCAAAACAGTCTAAACCTATGCCAATATTTTGCAACTTATTTTGATCACACTTTTTGTAATTTGTAACTTCAACCGCTAAAAATATTTAATTTTTTTTGTCGGGTAGCTGGCCCAATCTACTCCTATGCCAATACTTTTCAACATTATTTTTGAAATTTGCACCTCCATACCTTAACAGATCTGAATATTTTTATGTTCGAGAGCTGACTGGTAAAAAAATGTCCTTGTACCTAGGTATAAGTGTTTTAAACAAAATAATAATCACAATTTTATTGAATATAATAGATAGGTATCTAGTTATGTTATTACAGACTATAGAAGTTCCTAATATCTAGGATAAAGATTTATTCTGAACCATAATTAAATATTGAATGAAAAATTTAAGTTGAACCTGACGCTGGGTTCCAATTTATAATTGTTATTTTTTTATATTATCATTAATGTAATTATAATATATAAATAAAAATATATACATTTTTAGTTTATGTATTTACTATTTAATACATAATATATATATTATATATCTAAAATCATTAAAAACGTTTTTTCTTCTGGTATAAAAAACAAAAACTGCTTGTTCTTTGTATAAAAAAAAAACTTCAACATATTCTTATCAGTGCTGTAACCAGAAAATGTTTTTGGGTCGGATGAGGCACTTTATTTTTTTATTAAATTTTTCCAATGTCAGAATACCTGATTATCACTTATTACTTTATGGTACAACTATTTAACATAACAAAAGAGCATAGTTTGATAGAATAATGRATTAATTAATATAGCTATATTATTATCATTAAATCAACATTATCAATATGTGTTGTAAACACATCATTTAATTTCTAGTTTGAATATTTTAATATTTACTTAGAAAAATACTAGACATAACTTTTAACTTTTATCAAACATATAATAGAAAAAAAAATCATAGATGACCTTACACAAATGACTAATGGATAGTTAAAACTTAAGGAGATTATGATGATGGAGCAGTTAAACAAATTTAAATGATTATTGATWATAAACATAACAAAATATTTCTTTATTGTATAATATCATTAAACAAATGGATTAAAAAAATGCAAATATTAAACATAATAAATTATGTTTTGATATAATAAGGTAGTAACAATAACCAACTGATAATAATAACAAAAATTAGCAACTTGCCCCCACAGCAATTACACATTATTAACACATTTTAATAATATGTTAGAGAAACATATATTCTCTAAAATATTATGAAAAAATGTTTTCAAGTTGTATATTTTTGGCTTGAATATGTCTTAGCACAAAAATCAATATGTTTACAATATGATTTACATATATTTTCTTAACATTAATTATTACACGTTTATATTAAATGATTTTATGATTTCTTCATAGTGTACAAAATATTTATGGCCAAATTTATTGTTGATTTTAAATAGTTTAAAAAAATATAGCGTAGATATATGCTTAAAAAATGTATTTTTTACTTATTTGTTTTAGTTATAATCTAGCTATAATTAATACCAGCTAGCTATGCCAGAATAATGTAGGAATATTTTATGGTACAACACGTGCGGGTAGCGGGTATAACATGAAATAAATGATAACAGTTCGATTAATATAAAAAAAATTAAAATACAAAACATTTTATCTTAATCAATATTCAAACTTAAAACTCAAAACAATTGTTTGCTTTAACTCAAAGTTTTGGAAAACTCTAAACAATAAACAAAATAAGTAGTCTGTTTAGCTTATAGCGTAAAATTGTATAGATGCTTAWAAAAAATATTTAATATTTAACTTGAAATAACTAATTACCTGTACTTAACCTATTAACTAATTAATTTAATGAACTTCATTATAATTTATTTTATTGCTTTATTTCTTTAACAAAAGTGAATTATTGGCCATCCTAAGTGGACAAGAAAAAGAAGATTTATAAAATAATTTTTATTTTATCATAGATAGTGAAATCTTACTGGTTTTGATGCTCAATACCTACCTAAAAATTAAACAGTTATGTGCTTAATTATTACAGACTAAGAATAAATATTAAAATAGTCCGTAATTATAACTTACCTATTTATTTTTTTTATCACTGGTACAATCGTACATGAGTAATATATATTATATATAATATATACTGTATATTTATGTTTTAGTGGCTTTAAAAAATATATATATAAATGTTTCTATGTATCCAGTTATCCACCTGCATTTTTTGATGATTCTACGATCCGTATCCAGCGTATACTGAGACGTTTTTATATTTACTTCATGATTCTAAAATAGCCTATTTTATTATTATGTTCTAATATAATTTTAACGTTAATTATTAATTAGTTTTAATATTTATGGTTTTGATTAATTAACCAGTTCCAAAAATAAACACTATCATTAAATATTTCCTCCTTTATTAAATTTCGTGATTACACAAATTGATACCCGAAAATTAAAAAGCGTAAACCGGTCCAAAAAGTGGTCATGGACCATGGTAATTRGTTACCTGCAGTTTCAAGCCCCGAATCGAAGAAAAGAGGACTTAAGTGCCCTGCTTATGGGACTCGTGTAAGAACATCAGACAAAAAAGTTAAACGATACTGCACCATTGATTTTTACAAATTGATTTATATCAGTAAGATAGGCTGTGTTGAGTGTTAATAAAACATTGAGTTATTTGGTGCCATTAATAATGGGAGTGATATGATATGAGGCTATCGTTAATTGTCTAACAGCTATAAAAACTCCATCTCCTCGAGATCAAATACTGTTTGAAAGGTTTTTATTTAAACAAAAATTTTAAATCCATCAAAACATAATTTATAATTTTGGATATTTGGGGTAAATCAGGTTTCCCTAAGCACAATTATATCAAATTGAGTAACGAAATCGATATACGATTTAATCTTGTTAAATCTTAGCCTAAGATCATGGGTATATTACAGGTCGGGAACTAGAGGATCAAGTATTTTGAGATGCTAGAAGCAACATTTTTATTCCTGAAGGTTTTTTCCGCTATAAATGTTTTAAGAGATTCTGGCACACCAGATTCTCGCTGGTTCATAGCAAGAAGTAACCTTAGCTATACTTCTTTAACAACGTTGCGTGTCGTTAACAGATGTCGTGTTTTTGATAGTATAATTGTTCGATTTCAGATATTGTTTTTTCAGTTACTGATATTTGAGTATCAAGTCAAATGGTACTAAATTTTAACTGATTGGCCAAAAGAAGTATACATTTTCCTAAGTGCGAAATATTTTCATTTAACGCATTTATAAATAAGGATATATTATTCAAAAATGTTTCTGATTAAAGCTAATATAATTTAATAGTCAGAAGTTCATATAGGATACAATTCAGCTTATTGTCAGTATTCCTTATTTTAGGTTTGCAAGTTGCAGATGGGTTAGTAGAAGGGGAATCTGTGCTTTTAGATTAGGCGTTTATGCAGTTTGGGTGAAAAATGTTATTACAAGAAATCAATGAGTGTTCATGCAATCATGCTGCACTGGTTCGCAATGTTCACATGCATAGTCATAACTCATAAACAATAATACAACATATTTCGCTGATTGGGTGAATCATTATAGTATACGAATTTCCAATGATTATCTCTAAAAGTGGCAAGAATACAACCAAAGCGACAACATAGGATTTTGGAAGAAGTTAGCGAAGTTTGTATTGATGAAAAGATTGGTAACACGAGCATTAAAGTCTCGGAGATGTTAAACGAATGTAAGGAGTTAGATATATTATCTGTTCCTGTTTGATAGAATAGAATAATATAATACTGGGGCTTTAAAAGTTTTTATAGAGTATAATGTGAAACGATTAAAAAAAAAAACAATTGAAATCGATAACTGATAACATAATATCGGTAAACGACAAATGATTAAAACATAAAATTACCATAGAAAAAATGTTTTTAAAATTATAACTATCAATAAAATATTTTTGGTTATTTTTGTAAATTTTTTGATTTAAAATACTAGGCACCTAATCAAAATAAAATAAATTTAAAGTAGAAAATTTAAAACAGTAGTAAATATTTCAAATAAGAAATATGCACTACCGATTTTAACTAGGTAATACATTTTTTGAAAGTACTGTAACGTTACCTATCAGATGATAATATTATGTTGGCGTGGATGTACCCAATTTTGTCTCGTTAAAAATKAATTTTAAGTGTTTTGCGCGGGACCACTTAATTCTCTCTGTATTTATATTAGAATTATCAAAATTCCACAACGCGTAAGAAATAACTTTGTGTGTTTTAATGTTTTTATTTTTTTGAAAGTATTAACCAATAATTTTCAATAATTTAATAAAAAAACAAAAAACTTATGTTTTCAAACTAATGGCTTATATTTAAATTATCCAAATCATAAAAAGTTACGGACATTCATAAAATTCTTTCCTATGYTTTGTAGAGTTTTGGTAATTCTATAATAAATACAGAGGGTAAATTTGTTCAGTACAAAACAATATTTGTTATGTTGTACGTTTGTAAAATGTTGASCGCTCTCGTCTTCTTGTGCTCTTAATCGATCATAACTATAGGTCTCAGATTTTATAGCGTTTGCTAATTACAATAGGATACAAATAAAAATAGCAGAGTGAGCTGTAAATTTGTGTTATGCTCCTCGGATTCCTTAAAAAAAATTGTTTTTGATATTTTTTKAATATTTGAAGTATTTTAGGCTTTAAGTGCTATTTTTCAAATTTTAGTGATACTTTTTCATTTTTGCACCAGTTGCATGAAAAATAAAAATAAGTCTGTCATTTAATTATATTTTGTTCGAAAACATGGGAAAAATGTAAACACCTACATTCATAGGCGTGCGCAGACTTTGACCGCAGGGGGGGCCCTTAAACATTTTCCAAATATTCTTGTACTAATGAATATTGGTATAATTAAATATTTAATTGTTAATTTTATAAAGTATTTAATTCAATAGGTATACAAATATAAAAACTAATACAAATAAAATATAAAGGTATTAAAATACATAAAAATAATAATAATACATAATTATAATAATAATAATTTTACACTGAAACAGCATARTCATACCTAAAAAAAAATTAGCATAACTTACACAATTTATATACAAGAAAACCCTATTTACAACTCCATCCTTCTGTCCACGGGAGTAAGATTTTTGAATGTATCAATTACATCATCAATGTTTATACCATAAGCAAATTCTTAACTCATGTACTAACATTTAACAAATAACAATTATATATCATTATATACCATATATTTACTTTCCAACATAATGAAAACATTTATTACTAAAATCAATCAACTATATTAAATACAAAGAACTCAAATCAATTAGGTTAAAACAAAACAAAAAATGGTAATTTGAAATTCGTCCTATGAAGAACGTTTCGTAACGTTCTGTACATGAAACGAAAACACTATAAATCAATAACACTGCAACACTGATTCTCGATTACAACAAAAATATTATAAAATGTAAAATATAAAATKTAAAAATATTCGCTGTCTAGTATAATATAGATATCTATGMATTTATTAAAGAAAAAGCCTGAGGCCGCAGGTGGGGCCGCGGCCTACCCGGCCCCCCCCCCGTGCGCACGCCGATGCCTACATTTTTGTTGACATTAAAATCTATTTTAAAGTAGTCCAGTGAGTTGATYTATCGAATAGTAAACAATTATGGCTATATCGATATATTGTTAATATTGATAGCCATCAATCATCATCCACCATTAGAAATACACTTTTCGGTTGAAAGYGGTATTAAATATAATTTATTAAATAATGAAATAAAATAAAATTGGGTTAAAGCAGACAGCAAAGTATAATCAATGCTCTTGGAAATATCCAGCGACTGAATTATTTAATAGGTAATACCTAATTAAATAGACACCAATGCTGAATTTTTCTACAATATTTTCTACTACTTTAATAAACAATTTACCTCTAAATATATTARTTAGAAACTTATAAATCATCTTATCCGTCATGGTTTGGTAATAATCTCATAAAAAAGCACATTCTTACTATAGAAATCTCTTTAAAATTCAGCTGAGAATTACTTTAAATTCACTACTTTAAGAACTATATAAATCATTAAGAGACAACAATTATTCAGATTAGTTACATTTCTTTTTTTTGTACTGTCGAAAGCTTGACGATATTCAATTGTTCATATTATGCTGTTGCCAGTTCGACAGTAAACCAACGTTCGCTGCCCATCTTAACTTCGTATAATTTGCAATAATGGATAAAACCATTAACTAGTATATAAAACGTGCTTTACAGATTCTTTTATAAAATCTCTTACGTAGTTGGTTAGAACAAGAGATTTTTATTTTAGATAAACTTAACTCAAGAGCGAGTACACCGAAAATATACTAATTATTGTTGAATGATTTAATAAACCAAATACACGGAAAAACACCTAGTTTACTTAACATTGCAGGTCGTAGAATTCTACATATTTTTAGAATGTTTCAGATGTTTCTAAAAATATGATACATTTTATTAAAAAATATCAACCTATCATAGTACCTAACCATCAGATGTTCTTGTAGGTATTGTTTAATTTGCACTCATAATATCTATTTAAAAAACATACTACTTTTAAAATTATTTTGACGTATAATAATTTAGTTACTATATTCTCTTAAAAAAAAAAAACATATTTTCATAATAATATCTACCTACTTTATTACCATCGAATGAAATTGCTAAAATTTAAGATAATAATAAGTACCTACTACTCTATATTCTGTCAGATTCATTTCTCAGAATAATTTCTAGTCGTCTACTACCAGTGATTTTGTATGATTCCTAGGAGATTGATTAATTAAATTAAAAATTTATTACATATACCAGTTTCGGATCAGAAGCTTGTTTAAGGGGGAGGGGGTGAGTAGGAATATTTTTGAGTGATTTATAAAGTACGCTGAAGACTTTACCGAAATTTAAGTGGTTTGTGAAAAAAGAAGTACAACGATTATAATTACCTACATGTACCTTTATTTAATTGTAGACTGTAGTATAGCATAAAAATTACAGTTCACAAATATTAATAACAAATTTACAATAATATTCGTGATCTTAACCATGTTTTAATCTATAAATTAAAATCAATAAAAAATAGGCAAACATGCAAAACAAGTTGATACACATAAGGCAACAAATAATGATGAACAATAAATTATCCAAAACATATAATACAGTATGTAATAAACAAGGCTGTACATTCATTTAATTTAAACAAAGTAAAATAACTAACAATAAAAAAATTAAAATTAAATCATTTAATTCTAGTCCTAGTATATAAAATATTGGTATTTTATTATTATTAAATTTCAAATTAATTATCTGACCTAAGCAAGGTAGAAAATCTGCGTTCAGCGGCAAAGTAGAAATAAAAATAGTATAGGCAGGTAATTGAAGTAAAAACAACGAAGTGTATAACTAACTCGGAAGTGTTTGTCAAAACTCTCAATAATATCTAGGCGTTTATCTGTTTATGCCATCAAAAATAATCATTGAGACATTGAATTATTTTACTAGAAATGTATTTATACAAAATCATTGTATTTCGATAGCAGTTCTTTTTATTGCAGATGTTTTGTATAATATTCAAATTTACATAAATCTAKCTGTAGTTAAAATTTATAAATATATTTATAATATATACATTATATCATTGAGTATAGATAGTATACTATCTATACTCAATGGTTATATTAATCAATAGGGGAAAAACATACCTAGTTTATAATGCCAAATGGAAATTAAAAAAATCGAAACAAGAATATATTTTTCACACAAACCTATTGGGTATAAATAATTTAAAGTCTCCCCCCCTCCCCCCACCAATTGATAATCTATACATGCGCCCCTGATACTCACCAAAAGGTACTTCGCCATGCCCCCCCCCCAACAATAAATCCACCACTTTCATACACTAGCTCATCAAAAAAGACCAGAAATGAGGTACATAATACGATTAGACATATATATAATAATAATAATACTAATTATTYTGTATTATGTTTATACTTGTTTGGAGAAGAGAGAAAAGATCTGCAGTTGATCAATTCTAGTTTCAGGCTGCACTCCCTACAATGCCATATCCTTGCGTGATTTAGAGGAAAGGATTTTACGGTACTCAGTTTATTTAATGTGTGCAAAACAACACCTTTCTTTTGTGGAAACGAGTATGGTTTGTATTTTAACTTAAATCTATGGCTAAGTTAATGTATTTAAAAATTTGTATTAAATAATAATAAGAAAAATAATTATTTTTATTATTGTTATTATTATTACATATAAATTATTTAATATATTGTACACACTCACAACATATTGTATTTATAAAGACCTTGGGTCATTGAAATAAAGATGCCATAGGCAGTCAAAATAATAATAATAATATTTTGTCAAACTTGTGCAGATAAGTACAAAATAATTTTTTATTATAATTTTGCTATTTTATATAAAGATGAAAAAATATGTATACATTAACACTCAATATCTATATCAATAGCAATAGTTTTTATTAATTAGGTATCTAGAAATCCATATTCTATATTCATCTAGTAATTATATTTAAAAATTGATCATTAAATATTGTAATATTGTAAATTCAATCATTGTTTATAATTAGTATTTAAAATAATATTATAATTGTAACACTTAAAAAATTTAAATTCCTTACAAATTATTAAGGAAGTTGTTATCCATTTTTTRTATATTATAAATTAATATGACATAATTTTACTTCTAAAACATACCAAACACTTATTTCAAGTATATAGTTGATCAACATTTTTGAATATGAGCGATTTCAGTACTATTTGTCGAATAAATTAAACTGTTATACAAAAGTACATAATATTATGTGCAATTAAATATTTGGTTAACAGCCAGATAATAATTGTGTTTGATTGTTGGATTTTGAGTCCGTTAGATTTTGACTCGGTTGGTTTTGTTGAATTCCAATAGTTGACAATGTTGACGGATTRTTTAATTTCTGAAATGATCCAGAATGAAAACGACCACCATCTCCTCGTGCACGATTCATAGCATGTTTATGACGAGATTCATACATATATTTCTAGAATAAAATACACAATTTATAGCTTCATTAAGTTGATATTTTAAATGTAAGTTATGTAAGTATACTTGTCGAGTCTTGGGTATCTTCCCTTCAGCTTCTAATTTTGATCTAGCTTGTCTTCTTTTCATAATTCTATTATACTGTTTGGGATTTACATATAAGGGAGGTTCTTCGGGAAAAATTGATGTTAAAGGTGTCTCTTGTAGAATCTTAAAATTAATTAAATGTTATTTAAATTAATCATAGGCAAACATAGTATCATACCTTTAAGCTATTTTGTTGAAGAACTCCCTGTTGTATAGTAGCCATAGTTGACTGAGTAACTACTAATGGAGAATAATTAGTAATTGTATTATCTAACTGCATTATATTTACATTTGTGCCAATTACTGTAATTATAACATAACTATTAATGGTGATTTATATAAAAAATGTAAGATGTAAAAAGGGGCTTAGACGAGTTAATATTTAAGCAAATTTTATTTACCAACACTTTTAATGTAACTAGTTAATTTTAAGAAGTTCTATCTAATAATTATAAAGACTTAAAATTAACTAAATTTAAATWTTTTTTTTTTTTGCATTATATCTCAACTAYATGAAAAAGTATAATTTATTTCAATGTTTTTTCTGGTTCAATTATGTAAAACATATATTTTGTGCAAACAATTTTGTGTTTGGTGCATGCATTAATAGACTCGACAGAACATTCAACATTTGACTTGTTAATTATTTCGCAAATCTTGGAAAGGTAGCATAGGTAAAGATGAAGTGTTCATATACCATTTAATTCTGATGAYATGATAAAGCGAAATTTTATTTAATATTGAGGGGATTCTACATCACCATTTTTAAAAATTTCAATAAAAAAACAATTGTTTTAACATTTTTATTTTTAACCAACTCAAAAAAAGTCATAATAGATTCATTATAAATTCAAAAGTTTCCAAAATTATTATTAGAGTAAAACTCACATCAGTAGGTTAATACGTGTATACTATATAGGTCTATTTTTTTTTCTCCAAAAAATGTTAGTGTGAATCCCTTAATGAGTTGAAAATGAGATGTAGAAGATATTTCGGAAAGGAAAATATTAAAATAGAACAAATTTATTTTCTTAAATTATTATTTATCTATTTGAATTATTAATACTTAGACACATCAAAAATGTTTAGTTATTCATGTAACATAATATGTACATAAATAATCAGTGATGTAAAGTATTTGAGTATTAGTAGTCAAGAAATAAATACTATCTTTCAACAGGCATTTGAATACTTTTAAAAAACTATTTTACTGTGGGTATTGAGTATATTTTTCAGATGCTTTTCTTTYTACTTCCATAAAAATATTTGAATGTTTATAAAAATAAATTATCAGCAAAAAACATTTTTTTACAAAGTACGCCTCTGCTCAATTTATGACTGATACTAATTTTGAACAACAAATGTTAAATGTATTCATCTACTACATATTACATATTATATATCACATCATATTATTATATATTATATATTTTATTACATATTATTACTACATATTACTACATATCATCTACTACTCATTATTAGTTTATAGTCTTATACATATTTTATACTGCTCTTAAATAAATAATAAGGTAAAACAACAAATAATAAGTTTCCATATAGGCTGGCCATTAATGAGTTAATAAGTTAAGGTTTCTTTTAACTAAATAACATAATTAGTTACTTTATTTTAAAGTAATTTAAAAGTAACTCCAGATAACAATCAAAAATACATGATTTTATTAAATTAGGTAGGTAGATAGGTACCATGTTATTTGTCAGCTTTAAAAAAAAAGTTTAGGTAATTATTAAATTTGTATCAAAAAAAAAATCAACTGACTTTTATCTAAATTACTTTAATTTTCTAATTAATTTTAAACTTTTACAAGTTTAAAAATAGATGAAGGTAAATTTAAACTTTAAACTTAACTTAAATTTTTTATAATAACTTGACTTCCGAATTAAAAATATTAATAAACTTGGTCAKYCTTACTATTTTGTAAATAATGATATAATATAATATATAAATTATATAAATATTTTATTTTTAATCGTAAGAAGTTGAAGAAATTGATCCAGACGCATGATACAAATAACTACTCTATACATGATTTATCCTAGTAAGCCTCGTTGTTTACAATTGGTTTTCGGAAGAGAAAAAAGTGATTTATCATGCCTGTAGGCTATTATTATAATCAATCTTAATTAGCCAATACTTTTAGAAATGGTAAAAAATGTATGATTGCTCCTAAATAAGATCTTAATTTCTTTTAATTTTTTACGTAACAAATACTAGGTCTATCAATCATAAGTGTGCTAAAATAATAAATAAAAAAATACTGTAAGTATATTAACGCAATTCTTTTTTGATACATTACTTTTTCATCATATAACAACCAAGTTGCAATGGAGTATAACTACCTAGAATTGATTACAGCTTAGCTTTCAAACCAATATGGTTACAAGTTGTAACTTTAGTCACCATACCATTGTATGGTACAATAATAATAATACAAAATGTATTATTGACATCATTTTTTTAATCAATATATGTATTATTATTTGATTTTCAATAAATACCTACACGAATCTCTTACTACAAAAACAATTACTATTTTTTTATCGTAAATATTGAGATTTGAAAATACACGCCTAACCTAACCCATGATTTTTTTTATCAATAATGAGAGTACATAGTATAATGAAATATATGGAATATGCCTATATAAATTATAAAAGGTAAAACTACTGTTAATTATACAAAAATTAATACTTTATGAGTGAAAAAGAAATATAAAATTATTATTAGCCCATTACTTGTTATATATTTTATTATAAATAAATAACTTTCAACTTAACTATTAACCTTAACATATAAGAGTAAAAAAAAAGTAATTAGTCAATACATGCGGTATATACTTAATTGTCTGTATAGTGAAACATACACGTTGGCAACGGTTGTTGTGGCTGGAGTATAACTTGTTCATTACCAACTTGTGTCAGTTGATAAATAAATGTTTGGCCGTTAGCTGATACTTGAATCAATTGTGGTTGTGTTGGCTGCTTATTAAAAACATATAATTGTGGTTAGTGATTAAAATATTCAAAAATTAAAAAAAAAAAAAAACAAACAGGAAGTTGTAATAGCTGCAATTGTTGGTTGTTCTGTGTATCATATTGTAATAGATGATTTGTATTTTGAACATTGGAATGAATATACATTTGTTGCCCAAGGATATTTTGAATAATTTGACCGGGTAACACTTGTATTTGGACATTGGATGGTGCATTCAATAAAATGCCAGACAAAAGATTAGTGTCTAAGTTGACTTTTTCCATTTTTATGGTTTGATTCATGAAATGGTTCTATAAGAAATACCAAACTATGAGCATATTATTGAAATTTTAATAATTAGTAAAATGAGAGWAGAAATGCCTTTAGAAGAAGAAGAAGAAAATAAGATAAAGTATAATGAAGATAACAGAAGTAGGTAAACCGTAATTAGGCTAAGCGTGGAGTTATGATGTCAAGAATTATGATAGCAGATTGGAAAATTACATGGATCAAGAATGTTAAATTTCACATATCAAGCAAAGCATAGGATAGTGTTTTGATTACAAACTTTTGGCATTGTCAAGATTATCGGAAATATTAATTTGTCGTCTATAATATTTATGAAATGAACCAAGCTTATACTCAGCAAAATGTTTGTCGTCATAGTATAACCTCAATTCATGGACGAATAATATATTTCGTTTCTTAGTAACATTTATGATCTATATAATATGAGTTCATCAAACACTTCAGTAGATAACCGGCAAAATAATGAAAATAAATTTAAAAATGAACTTACCATTTGTGATGTCCGAAATTTTTTATTTTCAATGATTATTAAATGTCAACAATGCGGCARGTAACAAGAACGAATTACCTATAACAAACAATGACTAATGAAAAATAAGAATTTACCTAAGAACGACAAATAAACAGCGACGAGCCACGGGTCCACCAATCGCTTTTCTCCATTCGTTATTAGTTATCCTTATCACTTATCAATATCGACGGCCGTAACTAAAACCTGTTAACCAAGGACTAATAGCGTTTTCCACCACACTGCACTGACTGCACCAGTACATATTTTTATGTTCCATCTGCGAGATTAATGTGCACTGAGTGGACTTTTTTATGTTTCACCTCAATGCACCACGTCAGTTTTTTGCACTCGGTGCAAAGATAATCGCACGAGGTCTTGGAGCTCGTGCGCATTATCATTATCATGATAAGTACTGCAATACCCCTTGAATATTTTATTATCTTTATATATCAGTAATAAGTATAGATTTTATGTTTCGTCTACATTTGCACCAGCCGGTGTTGGGACAATTATCAGTGAACTGTGCCAGTTCTACCTTGGTGCAATAGTGCGGCGTGGTGGAAAACACTATATGATACACACTACACAGAACTAAACACAAGTTGAATATTATGGTTACGAAATGTTATTGAACAGGAGGTGTGTAGAGGGTATTTTTCCTTTTAGCATTACTACTTTACTAGCGTCATCTTAGTGGATTTTTATGGAACTAGATCATTCATGAAAATATCTAGTTCCATAAGTATCCACTAAAACGGCACTAGTATAATGCTAAAAGGAAAAAGACCCCTACACATCTCCTTTTCTATAACATTAACATTTCGTAGCAGGCGCGGATCCAGTGGTAAGTGGTAGGGGCGACCGCCCCCCTGCTGTCTGTATTATTTAAATTTAATATTTTGTGTTATCCTATATAAATGTATTGTAATGTTATTCAGTCACAAATCGTCGTATTTTATACGTATTTGTTTTTGCACTTTATGGGAATAGTGTAATAAAACGATTCGTACACAATAATGCCTAATTTAAACTTTTTGTTTTATTTTTAATTACAATAATTTTGTTATGGACAGCTTATACGACTTGACAGTGAGTTTACTTCGAAGGCAAACCGTAAACTGAAAATAACACGACCCGGTGCGGCGACGCCGACTGATATTCGACGTTATCTCAATTTACGTTTACAATATTTGTTGCCTTTATTATATTTTATTTTCAGCTTAAATATGATATCGAACATATCGCCCAGCATTTTACGCTAGCGTAAAATTTTTACATGAATACAAATATTACAAAATCAAATTTATAATTCATACATGTTACACGAAAATACCAATAGATACACACATCTTATTAATTTTTATTTAAAAAGGAGAAAAAACATTTTTTTTTTAATCTTCTTCCTTCATGGGTAACGGACATAAAGAACGAGCGGCACGCTTGATTTCTCCCTTGTTGGTTCGGACCAGCGCTACTCGGATCACCCCGTCTCTTCCCGGGTAAACTTCTATGACTAGTTGGACGCATAATGTGAAAATTTTTGCCCTAAATTTTGTCAAAAATTTGTAAGTCATTTGTAAGTTTCAGTAAGCATAAATTCGAAATTTGTAACTACAGCCGTTATCAATTATCCRCAAAAACTTAAATCACGGCTAACTTCCGCGAAACTTGGCCGTTTTGGCATATTAAAGTTTTTGAAAGTGCCAAACTGTTCTGAGCAATTTGTAAGTATTTGTAAGCACAAATTTTAAATTTATAAGTAATTCCCCACCTAATTATCCTTAAAAAGAAGTTGGCCGTGCTTTGTCGAGCTTTTTAAACTTAGACTGTTCCAACGGATACCCATCGAGTTGATTATACAATTTATTGTTGATACTTAATTTTATGTCGATATTCACCAATTGTCACGTTAGTTTTCTTTTGACGTTGACACCAGAACATCCGTAGGTAGTTATAAAGTTAAGTTATAACCTAACCTAACCTCAAACCAGATCATCAGTATGGGTTTCAGAACAAACATTMTACTATTGATCACAAACTGGAAAAACATATCTRCCGGAGTACCTCAAGGTAGTGTACTAGGACCTACTCTATTTATCTGCTATATGCAGCTGACATCCCGACCAATAGTGACTCAATGACCTCTATGTTTGCTGACGATACAGCAATTTYAGCAACAAGTATTGATCACGAGACTGCGACTGAAAACGTACAAACCTCAATCGATCGTATACCTGACTGGACAAAACGATGGAAAATAAAGATAAATAGTGATAAGTCGGTACATGTGAATTATACTCTACGTAAAACCGAAAATCTCCAAGTGTCGCTGGATCACATGACAATCTCACAAAAAGATTCAGCCAAATACTTGGGTATGCACCTTGATTCTCGCCTTAATTGGAAACATCATGCCCGACAAAAAAAATTGCAAATAAAAGAAAAAAATGCGCAAGCTAAACTGGCTAGTTGGTAGACATTCCACACTAGACCTGGCAAACAAACGGCTTCTATATGTAGCTATTATCAAACCGATCTAGACTTATGGCATACAACTGTGGGGCTGTGCCAGCAAATCCAACATCAAAGTCATTCAACGCTGTCAGAATATTTCCCTTCGTACCATTGCCACAGCATACCGGTTGGACAGGAATGAAATCATCCATCGAGTCTTGAATATACCATCCATAGAGGACGAAATTAAAAAGTTTGCCAATAAATATGTGAAAAAACTTGAGTTGCACCCAAATGCAACTGCTAAACAACTTCTTCACAACTCGCAAGACATTAGACGCCTGAAGCCATACGACTTAGTTTAATTAACTTAGGCTAAGAAAACGGGCTATCTTATTGGGGGTACAACCCTAAACATGTTCTTGTATAATATATATATATATATATATGTATATATAAGTAATTGTATAATACTACTTATGTATTACTATTGTTATACTGTATTCACCCACAATGTATTATATCTATAAAGACTTTTGATCGTTTAAATAAAGATGCCATAGACAGTTAAAAAAAATAAAAAATTAATGATGATAAATAAAACTCAAATGCTTAAATTTAAATTTAAAAATGAATAACTACCTACGRATGTTCTGGTGTCAACGTCAAAAGAAAACTAACGTGACAATTGGTGAATATCGACATAAAATTAAGTATCAACAATAAATTGTATAATCAACTCGATGGGTATCCGTTTGGAACAGTCTAAGTTTAAAAAGCTCGATAAAGCACAGTCAACTTCTTTTTAAGGATAATTAGGTGGGGAATTACTTACWAATTTAAAATTTGTGCTTACAAATACTTACAAATTGCGCAGGATAGTTTGGCACGGTCAAAGTTGAAAAAGCTCGATAAAGCACGGCCAACTTCTTTTTAAGGATGTAGATCTTTTTAAGGTAGATTTTCTTCTTTAATCGGGACCAATGTTTCTGGTTTGAGCACTGGGCCTTTCGATTTACACCATTTTTAACGACCTTGGAGTTGGCTCAAATATTCAGTACTCCGTCTCGACCATATTTGTTGAGTCGCCTGAACAGTTTGTTGCCAAAGTCGGAGACGGTTTGGTGTAATATTTGAAAGATCTGGTTCCGGTAGATAGGTAAGAGAATTAGAGAACCACCCACCGATTAAGAGATGACCGGGTATCAATACATTTAAATCGCTAGGATCAGAGAACATGGGAGTCAAAGGACGAGAATTTAGGCAWGCCTCTATGCGAACTAACACAGTGTTTAACTCTTCATACGTTAATGAAGTATTTCTCAAATGTCTTATTAAAGATGCTTAACCGATTTTACGGCTGATTCCCAGAGCCCGCCAAAATGAGGTGCTCTAGTGGGAATGAATTGACATTTTACTCCGGCTTCCGTGACAGTTTTTTGCACCATCTCCATGTGTTGTTTTGACAAAAACAAATCACGTAGTTCCCTTAACTGACGATTGGCTCCAATGAAATTAGTTCCGTTGTCGGAATAAATTTTGCTACACAATTTTGTCGAAATTATGTGTAACAACATTGGTCCCCAATTTTTTGGGTCGTAACCTAGTGATTGGAGTTCTGTCATGTGTCCCGACAACGAGTCCATAAATTTTCGYAATTTTGATGAGCTTTCTTTTGTAACGGGTTCGAGATCGAAAATTGCTTTATTGTGCGTTTGGACGATTATTTTTTTATTGTTAAGGGGATTGGAAGTGCTTCGTTTCTARGGAGTAAACGATAGGCATTTAGTTTAACAGTTGAAGTCGCTAACTGCTCTTGTGTGAGTAGTAAATGTTCATTTGTGTGAGTGTCCAACACGCCACCACTACTACCCTAAATTCTACAACGTTGCGATATTCATCACAATATCGAAAACCGGTTTTAGTCAACTAACTTTATCTAATAATACAATAACAATAGTCATTAAGTCGCAATTAGAGTAGTATGCGTGTGTGACCCATATTAGGACTGCTAAATAATTGCATAAAATAAAAATCACAAATAATTCATTCATAAATATAGTTAAAAATAAAAATTTTATAAAACAAAAGTTTTAGAACGAATATTTATRACATCTAATTATTAATTAATTCCAACACAAGCTTTTAGCTTATAAGAAGTGTGCAATTTTTGCTTGTTTAAATTTCTTGTATTGCAAAACATAAATAAATATACAAAAAAATCAAGATGTATTAGAAATAAAATAAAAAACTAAAGGTGACAGAATTAAACAATTTTTTCGGGAATGCCTGGTCTTATTGGTAATCCTCGATCAAACCTAGAATCGATTATTTCTGGAAGTAATGACTCCATATAAAATCGAGTAACAAATGGTTCAATTTTTGTATTCCAAAATGATTCATCACCATGTATTTTATCTATCACAAAACCTGCCAAAATCATATACATTTAAAAAMGACAAAAAACGACTAGGTATATAATAATTTGATTACCTTTGGGACTCCATACAACAAAATAACAATATTTTTTTTCGGTAATATTAAGTTGGCCC